GCCACACTGCCAAGCACATCTTTCCTCAGAGCTCTGAGAGCTGGGGGTGGATGAGAGTCAGCCTCTCAGCCTGTCCTTGGCTGCCTGGGCAGCTGTGGTGGAGGGGGCTTTAGGCAAAGTCTCTGTCCTTGACACTTGGCCTCAGTTTCTCATCTGTGAAATGATCACACTGGTAATGCCTGCCTTTTCTAGCTCCAAGCCTTGTGTCAGATTTCAAGGGCAGCTGTGCATGGGATGCAGTATATCCAGAAGTTGCTTTGCGTGCCTGTAGTTTTCCTGGAGGCTTCGGCTGCTGCCAACAGCTGCCTGATTGCCCTGTTACTGCCTATAACACCTTTTCTTCCTCACCAGGAGAGGCTTTTCCTGGTTCTACCCTCATGGAGGCTAGGTCCTTCCTCTGCCTTTCCCGCAGGCTTCCTGCCCTAGTGGGCTCTCTCCATACCCCTCTCTTCCCCCAGTAGCAGGATGAAGGGTGGTGACGGATAGGGAGGACTATCAACAGAGAGCCTACCTGCCTGGAATGATTATCAAGGCCAGTCTGTGCCTGGCCCATAGAAGGGACAAAAGACAGCTGTGCTCTCACCCCAGTTCCAGGCTAGGGTTGCAATGCCTGGTCTCCCCATCCTGTGCTTTGTTCCCTTGCTGTGGCTCTGTCTGTTGGTAGGCTTGGGGTTCCAGCCTCATCTGTCTTGGCACCCACAGTGGCGGATCCATCCATCCATCCATCCATCCATCCCACTGGGATCTGAGTAGTGATGGGTTGGGGGAGCTTCAACCTGAGTATAGAGAAGGAGGGAGAAGGTAGCGTTCCCAGCAGTTGTTTCTGGGAAGAGGTCAAATCAGTTGCAGCCCTCTTTGAAGCCAGTCATGCCGGTGGGGGGAGGGGTACAGTACTGATGTTCTTCTGCCTTCCCTTCGGAAAACAAGCCCCCCACCCCCACCCCCAGCATCTGTTTTCCTCACCTGAATTGTCCACAAAGATCCTACAGGCATGGTCTCCTGGTTTTGTCTTCATGGGCTTCTTTGCAGTTGAGGACATCCTTGCTGTCTGTGTCTCTTTCCCCACCCCCATAGACCTCTCTCTCTCTCTCTTTCTGCCTGCTCTGTGCTGCTCTCCTGCCTGGAGCTGAGGATGAGGTTGCCATGGAAACCTGAAGCACAGTGAGCAGGGGAAGGGAAAGGCAGGGTTGTCTCGCCAGGGCTGGGGGCTGTGGGGAAGGGAGGGAGCTGACCCAGCAGGAGTACTATAGCACATGGTCACGTCCACGTCCACCTGCCTTCCTCAAGCCTGGACCAGGGTTTAGGAGGTGGGGGTAGGAGCTCTTTAATCTAGTTAATCTGATGCAGGATTAAAATCCCTCCCCCTGGATTAAGTTGACATCTAGTCTCCTTTCACCCCTCAATCATTCTGATGGGATTAGTGTTCCCAGTGTGGGGCCTGGGATCTGGGGGTATTGGTGATGTCTTTAGCTAGTGGCTTCAAAGAGAGGAGCAGGTACCTGCCAATCCCATCCGGAGACAGTAGCGTCACTAGTGGGGTATAGGAAGTATAGATGGACTGCATCAGGCAACATTGTCAGAGGGGTTGACACCAATAACAATAAAAATATTTTTTGTAAGCCCAGTTTACATGTATCAATATACCTACAAGGCTGAAACTTTATGCTAATTTACTTTTGGAACCTTCTGATGCACTTGGTCAGACCTGTCATTATTTCCCAATTACAATGATGCTTCGAATCACGAGGTTTGGTCTGCACGCGCAACAAGCACATGCAACAAGTACTTGCTGTTTTCATTGTTGCCGGTATTTCAGTAGTCTCTAATATTTTCAAATTTTCTGGTATTTTAGCTACAATATTGTGGTAATTAGTATTTGTGAACCTGTAGCAATAATTTTTGAATGAAGTAGTAATTAAAAAAAAGGAGAAAAATAAAAAAGGCATCTGCTTGTTTACTAATGTTGTAATTCAATGTAGAAAGATTTTACAAAATGGTTTTGTTGTTAGAAATATTAAATTTAAGCAGTTTACATCCATATTCATCATATATTAGTCCATAATTAAAATTGATAATAAATGTTACGAAGGTGTCTGTGTGGTCTGGTATGGGAGGAGATCCCTGGAGGAGGGGTGATACCATGAGTTACCATACTAGGGACACCAAACCTGGTGAGATGCCACTGTCCAGAGGCTATGTATTGGAGGGTCTTCTGAGAGCTGTTTTGGGTACTCTTGGGTGGGGTGGGGTAGCAGAGCCGAGGGGCAGGGTGTGGGTGTGGTCTGTGTGGAACATTGTTCTCGTGGCCCTGCTGGCTGGCCTCTGTGTCTGGCAGATGCTTGCTGCTGCACAGGGTCTATCTATGCATTCATCGTGTGTGAGGGAATCATGCTGAGCATGTAGGAACTGCCGCATGGGTGGGGCACATCAGCCGTACATGTCTGGCTGTCCTTGGACACCTGGAGCTGGAACTCCATTTTAACCCTGTACCTTTGGGCAAACGAGAAACCCCAGGGTTTGCAGATGGCTCCCACAGACATCTGCTTGGCCAGCCTGCCACCATCCTTTCCCTCTGAATACTAACCAACACGGTCTTCTCAGAATTGACCCTTCAGGCTCTGGGCCAGAGCTGTCCTAGAGGTCTCCATCTCGTGTTTCAGGACCTAACCTTCCGTTTCTACCACATGAGTCTCTTCTTGCAGTTGCTCTCTTCATCATTACCCTCACCACCACCATGATGCCTTCCACATGGCTCAGTAGTGGGGAAAGGGGCAATTCTGAAGCCCTCCTAGAACCTTGGGAGCAGCCAGTCCTGCTAGAACTTGATTCACTTCAGTCCTTCCTGCTGTTCTCTTCCTAGTCCCCCAGGAACAGATTCTTAGCTGATCCTCCCTTTCCCTGAAGCTGCTCAGCTGTGGGTGGCCCTGGCTGCATGGAGCTGGGCCAAGCCTGGTGACTGGACCCACAGCCTCAGCCCTGAGTTCATTCCTGGGCCCATTCTGTTGCCAGCTGCAGGCACCTGTGTTTGCTTTTCAGTTTCCTCCTCCCTCTGCCGTGGAGCTGTGTGCCTGGGCTGACTTAGGGGAACAGGACTCTGGTGGGGTAGCAGGGGCTAGGGGAGAAGGGCATAGCTAGAGTCATCTAGGCCCAGGAAAGTGAAACTAGCCCAGAGGGGAAACTGATTTGCCCAGATCACCCAGCAAGTCAGTGTCAGAGCCACTGCACTTTTCTATGCACCCCTGCCCCCCTTGGTTCAGTTCTCCAAATCCAAATCCCAAGTCTTGCCTCTCCGTGAGTGGTGGCCCATAGGGAAATTTAGCAGGTAGCTCTGGCTCAGGGTGTAACAGGCAGTTGGAGAACATGCCAGGTTTGGTTGAGAGCACAGAGGTAGGTGGGCAGCTCATGTCCAGCTAGAGGGCATGGTCACCAGCTGGGCTGGGACATACCTTGAAAGAGTCTCAGGAGGCAGTCCATCTCTAACCTGGGGGCAGCTTCTGAGCCGGAGATCTGCAGGTGGTTACAGCCGTGGTGGGGTGTGGTCACTCTGCACTAGTGATGGTCAGATGTCTAGCTCTTGCTTGGCGGGCACCCCCTATCTGTGGCTCATGTGGAACCCCAACCGTTTCACGTGCAAACACATGCATGCAAACCACAGTGACTCAGGGCTGCCTCTGCTGTAGCTGCTTTGCTGGGATACTTGTCACAACTCAGTAGGGTGTAGGAGACCTGAGTTCTAGCCCTGGCCTAACTTGGACACCTGGTACTCTTCTAGGGGTAAATCAATGAGTCAAAGAGACCAAAAAAACCCTCCCCTTATGGAGAAGTAGTAGGAGAGAAGACAGTAAGCCACTGTGATAAATAAGTTAGTTATGAAGTCTGTTAGGTGATAAGTGGTTGGGCCAGCAAGTTCTTTCCTTCTCTATGAAATGTGGCGGTGAAACCAGATGGTCCTGGAGGTCCCTGCAGACTTGACTCTTTGGCCATCTTAGCTCTTACTTCTCCTAAGCCAGCCCTCTTTCTGGGGGACAGACCCTGGTCTGTCTTATATCTGGGCAGTGGACTGTGCTGGACTCTGGAGATACTGCCTGGCTGCAAATTTGAATCCCACCACTTACTGGCTGTCCTGGCCACTTTGTTTAACCTCTCTGAGCCTCAGTTTTCCTATCTGTCAAAGGAGAACAATGACAGTATTAGCCATCAGGGTGGTTGTGAGAGTTTAATGAGCTAAGGCATGTCAGTCCTTATCACAGGGCAAGCATTAACTATTGTTATTGTTGTTATCTGTCACTAATGGGGTGACCACCTTTCTGGCCTCAAGCTGGCTTTCCCACCCACCCTGCAGTTAAGTTGGTCCTTGTTTCCTGTTTGAAATACTACTTTGGGCGCGTGCAGTCTCTTACCACTTCTTCTAGGAAGCCCTCCTCAATATCCGTGTCCCTTTCCTCTTTCTCTATATCCCTCTCGCCTTCCTCTGCTTGTTGTTGTTGTTGTTATGTGCCCTCGAGTGGGACCCTACTCGTAGCAACCCTCCTTGGGTTTCTGAGGCAGTATCACTACGGAAGTAGATGCTTGGTTGGTCTCTATTTCTGATCTTCACTGAAAGCTCTGTTTTGCTCCCGTGCCCATCTTCTGCCTAACCTGGCTGGACCCTCCTGGGTGATCTGGCCCTCCCACATGGTGGATTGTACCCTGAACAAAGGTAATCCGAATCCCTCAGAGTGTCCCGATGGTTTCCCTTTACTGCAGGACAGTGTTTCCTGGCCAGCCGGCCACTCAGGCCTGATGTGTCTTCCCAGTGTGGCTGGCCCAGGCTGATGCCAGGAAGGTCTTGCCTCCGCTCACTCCTAAGTGGTGGACACCTTGGTTCTGCTGCTTGGGCAAGGCAGGGGCTGCCAAGATTAAGAGGAAGTGGCTAGGAGCGAGCCCAAGGTCTGTGAGAAGCTCAGTGATTCTTGCCCCTTCCCCAGAGTGACCCCCACTCTGTTTTTTCTGTCCTGCAGACACTACCCCAAGCAGTCCTTCACCATGGTGGCTGACACCCCGGAAAACCTCCGCCTCAAGCAGCAGAGTGAGCTCCAGAGTCAGGTGAGGGGTGAGGCTGGTGCTGCAGCCTGGTGGGAGGCTGTTGTAACCCCTGGATTTGGCAAGGGCTTCTTCCCCCTGTGGTTACTCAGCAGGGCCAAGGTGCTGAAATCCTAGCTCTTGCCTTGTCTCCCTGCCCCCCACCCCCATACCCAGTTATATCATGCTTCCTTGTTCAGCAGTAGAATGTTGTTGTTGTTATTTGCCATCCAGTCAGCCCTGACTCATAGCGACCCCTCCTTGGGTTTCCGAGGCAGTATCACTACGGAAGTAGGATTGCCCAACCTTCCTTCCGAGGAGTGGCTGGTGGGTTTGAACCTCCAGCCTTCTGGTTAGCAGTCAAGTGCCTTAGCCACTATGCTACCAGAGCTCCCAAAAGAGATGGCCCGTCTACCTGGCGGAGCGGCCGTCTAGCTGGCGGGAGCGGCCGGTGGGTTTGAACAGCCAACCTTGGGTGTGGCAGCTGACTGCCCGAGGCCCTGAGGCCATCCCCCATCCCCGGGGGCCAGCAGTGGAATAGGGGTAGCTAAAGTGGCTCCCTTGGGTGGGGGGGTAGGGCTCTAGTCCTCTTTGATTTTTTTTTTTTTCCCATTCTGGGAGGATTTGTGTGGACCCTTAAAGCCTGCCTCCCCTGGAAAGCAGTTTCTCTCCCCCTCCCCGTCCCTCTTCCCCTTTTCCCGACTCCCACCCACCCACAAAGGAAGGGCTGGGGAGCCCTTGCTGGTCTCATACCAGCCTGAGATTACACAGCTGCTCCTCTATGGTCCCTGGTGGGCAGAGAGGAGGACGCCTTGCCACGGCCTGTCTTGCCTTTTCTTCTTGGGCCTGACTTCTTTGAGCACCTGCTGAGTGGGGAGAGGTGCGTATCCCTGACCGAGGGGAGGACTCCATCTTTAGGAGACACTGAGGAATAAGCACAGGGTTGAGAGCCCTGAGACCAGAGCAGTTAACCCTGCCTGGGGGTCAGGACTCCTAGGACAAACCTGATCCGGACCAAGAGTGGGGTGGGCGGGGCTAGGCTTCAGCAAAAACCCCTTGGAGACTTAGCTGAGAAGGCACGGTGCCCAGGGTGAGGAACATGGGGCGGTGCAGCCTGTTGGCCACTGAGGGGAGAATCTCTCTGCATCCTTCCAGGGTGGGGCTCCTGCTGCCTGATCCTGTCATGACGTCTCTGGATCACCATCTCCCAGTAGGCACCATCAAGGAGAATCAGCCTTGTACTGCATAGGGTTTTATATATGTTCTCTTATTTCATACTCCACGTAACCCTGTGACAGAGGTACTGTTATTCCCATTGAACAGACAAGGAAACAGGCTCAGAGTCCTTAAGGGACTTAAGTTGTATGGGTATTGGTAGAGGAATCAACACTATAAAGCTAATGTATTGAGAGCTTAATGCTTTGCACATATCAGCTTTTGTGATCCTCACAACAGCCCCATGCAGTTGTTAAAATCATTCCCATCGTACAGATGAGGACAGATGCAGGTAGCGGTGTTGGTTTTGAATGCAAGTGTGTCTAACTTGGAGACTGTTCTTTCTGGTAGTCTATCCTGCACCCTGAGGAGAACCGTCTTTACCTTAATGATAAACACAATGATCCAGTATGTTGCTGAGGGCTGTTGTTCCTTAGCAAATGCGTTACGTTCGCTCATATAATTTTTCCTTTTCCCTGCTCTGGAAGAAGTAGACCTGTTGTCCCCATTTTACAGATAGGGAAACTGAGGCTGAGAGAGGCCCAGGGCTGTGTCCAATGACACACAAAGAAACAGATGGTTTCAGGATTTGGGATCTGGTCTTTTCACCCCAAGTGTGGTGACCTTGACCAAGCACAAGCTGGTGGGGCCTGAGGCTTGGCTCCCCCCACTCCCCAGTGTGTTCCGCAGTGGTGGGGAAGAGGTAGGAGAAGCTGGCTTCTACTGCTGTGACAGCTCACATCTGCCAGCCCAGACTCCACCCCCGCTGTGGTGTGAAAGCTGCAATTATGGGGGGGGGACGGGTGTGAATGCCAGGCCTCTGCCAACTGAGAAAGGCTGGGTGGCCCAGCTGGCAGGGAGAAGGGTCCAGGACAGCTGGGGCCTGGTCTGCATGGGGGCGATTCTGACCTGACACCAGCTAGGGCCTGTCACTCTCCCATCCTGTGGGACGCTCCTGAGGCCAGAGGTAAAGTGAAGGTGGTCACAGGGCAGGCAGGCCAGAGCATTGTGGGGTGACCTGTTTTTACCTCACAGCTTGAGAAAGAGCAATGAGGACCCCAGATAGTGGGAGCCATGACAGAGGGACCTGGAGGAAGAGATGTGGGGACGGGATGGCGGGCGTTTGGTAAAGGTGTGGGTCTGAGAGTGTGACATAGACACAGGCAGAGGCAAAGGACACACACACGCACACACACACACTCTACTCTCAGGAGGAGAAATTCAAATCCGGCTGTTGGCCGGGATCTTAATTCCCTTAGCCTTTGTCACTTCCACAAAAGCATGGCTGTAGCTCTTTTTGCCCCTGGAACCTGATCCCTAAGGGGCAGGGATTAGTGGCCCTTGACAAGGGCCACTTGTGCTTCTGCACAGAGCAAATAGGCACCGCATACAAGATCTGAAGGCTCCTCTTCCCCACCTGTGCCCTCTGCTCCCTAGGAGCCTAGCCTGCTGTTCACCTCTGGGGCTGCTGGACAGTCTCTGGGACAGGCTGCAGCGATCACAGGAAGGCAGCCACTCTTCACTGGGTACTTGTGGAGGACCAGCCCCTGCATGTATACCTGGCCTTTTTTAATCCTCATAACCACCTGATGAGGAAGGGATTCTTATTATCCCCATCCAATAGCACTTGACTGCTAACTAGAAGGCTGGCGGTTCAAACCCACCAGCCACTCCTCGGAAGGAAGGTTGGGCAATCCTACTTCCATAGTGATACTGCCTCAGAAACCCAAGGAGGGGTCGCTATGAGTCGGGTCCAACTCGGTGGCAAATAACAACAGATGGGGAAACTAAGGTTTAGATAGGCTGTATGCCCAGGCCCAGTGGCAGGCAGATTTCAAGCCTAGTCTTGCTCTTAACAGCTCTGCAGTCTGCTGCATCATCCAGCACTGTATTCACAGCCTGCAGGATGCATTAGTAGCACCAGCAGGTTTTGGGGTTGGGGAGCTTGCTAGAATGCAGATTCCTAGGTCCCACCCAAAGGGCTTCTGGGTGGCAGCTCTGGGAATCTGCATTTTGACATGCTCTCCTGGTGATTCTGATACAGGCTTTTTATCCTCAGACAGCACTTTGAGAGACTTAAGAGCTGGGCTGGTAGGTGGATAAGGAGGCAGGCAGGAGCACACAGACCCAGGCTGTTTCTGCTCTGAGGAGTGGAAGCTATGGGAGTTAAGGCTTTGCACAGAGGGAGTTCTGGTCCTCGGGGGTGGTGCCAGGTGTAAAAACAGGTGGCCAATTGGGGCTAGCTGGGGTGGGCAGGCAGAGAGTGGAGGGGGAAGGGTCCTGGTCTCTGCAGGTCTGGTTCTCTTTTCCTTCCAGCTTGTGAGAGCTGTGTGATTGGGGTCAAGCCATGTGATTGGGGTCAGCTCCCTGCCCTGGCCTGCCCCACCCTCTAGGATATCAGCTGCTCTTTTTCCAGGGCACCCCCTCCTGGGCTTGCCTTGGTACATCTCAGCTCTTTTCTGGCTCTGGGAAGCTGCCTGTGCTATTTCAACTTTTACTTGTTTTCCGGTCTCTATATTGGTTCCTAAAGTGGTACTTTGAGAGTCTGGGACACCTGCAGCCTTCCCTGTGGGGGAAGTAACCACAGAACTGTCCAGAAATGACCCTGTATATGGCCCTGGCCAGACCTGGCTGAGGCAGAGAGCTGGCAGCTGGGCCTCAGCCCTCTCCTTCCTCACCTGCAGCTCCCCTATGTCTAGCACCACCCAGAGCAGAGGTAGCAGGTTTGGAGTGGGCCTGAGTTGGGGGTGTCTGTGTGGCCCCCTGAGTCCAGGCAGAACTGCGAGGAGGGTTACTCTTTCATTTTGTCCTTCATCTTCCTGGTGCTGTCCTAGATGGGGAGGAGAGTATGGTGAGTACCTTAAGCCCTCTCTTTTTCTCCCCAACACGGCTTCTATGACCTTCAGGGACACAGCACGCTGGTGAAGAGTGTAGATGCACTCCTTAAAAACAAACACCCACTCTGGATCAAAAGGGAAGCATTTGCCCAGGGATAAAATAAAGCTCAGAAGGCAGGAATGGATGGGAAAGGAGGACAGATGGAAATGGTAACCACAGGGAGGAAGTGGAAAGAGTGCCGTTACATTGTGGGCATTGCATTCAATATCACGAAACAAAACATGTATGAATTATTGAATGGAAAACCAATTTGCTCTGTAAACTTTCACTCAAATCGTAATACAAAGTTGGGAAAAAAAAAAAAAAAAGTA